GGTAAAGAAAGAAGTCATTGGGGGCCAGATCAGGTGCGTAGGGAGGGTGTTCCAATATAGTTATCTGTTTACTGGCTAAAAACTCCCTCACAGACAGTGCCCTGTGAGATGGTGCATTGTTGTGATGCAAGAACCATGAATTGTTGGCGAAAAGTTCAGGTCGTCTAACTTTTTCACGCAGCCTTTTCAGCACTTTCAAATAGTAAACTTGGCTAACTGTTTGTCCAGTTGGTACAAATTCATAATGAATAATCCCTCTGATATCAAAAAAGGTTGCCAACATCATTGCAACAAGTTTGTGAATCTAATTGTCACTAATTGTCAGACATATTTTTTGAGAAGTCTCGTAAGTTCTTGTTTGTTTAAGCCAACTTAATATTACAAATTAGCAATATCATCCAGTGGTAGAAATGTGCTACACCTAGAACACACATATGTTAACATGCACAAACACAGAAATATAGTCAGAGATCCCATAGCTTTCATTTTAAAATGCTAGCTTTTATGTCCCAGGTATAATGCAAACTCAGTGGAAAAACTTGATCCAAATTATGTTTCACAGATGGACTAAGTTAAGATTTTGTTCAGATGGCCAAAGCTTTACATGCTGAAGAATTCGTTTAAAGCCATTTTAAAATTAATTTACAATCAATCATAGAATCCATCCCATTGTCCCCGAGAGGCCTGAGATCCTCTCTTTTAAGGGTGCCCTCAGACAAACAACAGAAAATGGAAAGTGAGTGCACACAATAAAGTTGGAAAGCCCAGAAAGTAAAAGGAACAGCTTCAGAACATCTGAATTTTAAGTGGCAGGTTTCCCTAGAGAAAATTGGCCGCTGGGATGGAGCCTGAGCACAAGATGGCGGCTACCCCTTGTCACACAGGTAGGCGACTGCCACATATCTGGAGACTAAAGGTGGGGGAAGGGAAAGAGACGCCTCCGACGCCATTTTACCCCACAACGGGGCAACCGCAAAAAGGAGGGCTTTTTCCGCACCCGCCTCCGAACAAGGCATGGGATGAACTCTGGGAATTGAACCAGGGCCGCCACGGTAAGAGCACCATAGCCTAACCAGTAGAACCCATGGAGGAATGGGTGAAACTCTGACCGTGTGCCATATGGGTTCTTCTTGGGCGTAAACAAAATTCATGAGAGCGAGCCCCCGGACATCGCCGGCTGCTTTATCATGTACAGTGAAAGCCCAGGAGGAGCGAGTTAAGTCCCTAGCGCCCTGGTAAACGCTCAAGGAGCCAGAGGGAGAGAGCAGTGCCTCTCTTCCACAGGGTCAGAAGGCTCTCAAAAAAAGAAGTTCGGTATGGTCATGGAGAAATTCAGTTCCTAAAAGTCAAATCATTTAAAACAAGTAACATCAATGAACAATATACTTCACTCACATTTATACACCGCCTCCCCCCCACCCCTATACACAATTTTCAGACTTAATTTGCCAACTCTAGACCAAATTCAAAACCGGTTTCAAGTTAAAAACAAAATTCCATGGCTGGGTTCAAACAAACCAAACGATTTCAATCCAGATTGCCGAGGTAGCTTCTCAAAGCCTGTTCTCTTACAGAACCAGTGGGAAACTCCCAACCCACCAAAAGGGAAAGTTTCTTTGGTGTCATCGCACATGAAGTTACTTACTCACCAGGAGATGTCTTGCAAGCCAAGTTCCCAGTTTCTTCCACTGAAAAAGGAAAGTGCTGTGCGTCAGCCACGCCCAGTCAGTGGTGAGCACTGCAGCTCCGTCCCTGGAACCGTCAGCCCAGGCAGCTGCTCGATGGAACCTGGGGAGACCGCCGCTGGCCAGAGGTCGCTGAACCATGGGCGGAAAGCCCGCTCAAGGCTATGGCCCTTCGTAGTCACCATTTTTGTTACAAAACATAAAGAGGCTGCCAACCTCACCCTAGCAGATCGAAACACTAAAAACTGAGAATTTGCAGTAGAGAAAGATTAGCTATTTTATTACGAGTGGTGCTACCCAGGACAATAGGAAACTAATGCTCAAAAGCCTCCGAATGCCCGAATCCAGGGCTCGGGGCAGGTTTTTAAGGGTATAGGGGGAACGGGTATGCGGAAGCGCTGGCAGGGCAAGTTTTAATTGGAAGACCTTGGAGCTTGGCCACTTACGGTAAGGGACGTCATCACAAGATCTTCCTGTACAGCAGATCCTCTGCTTCTGAAAGGGTTCCAGTGTTTAATTTCCGGTTATGTTCTAGTCCTTTCGTTCTGTGGGGAGGTGGGAGGGCGGGACTTTGGTTCCGGATGTAGCTGGACATCAAAGTTTGATCTGCGCATGCCTCAGCTGCACGACTTGTGGTTTTGGTCAGTGGTCACTGAAAGGCAGCTCAGTATCTCATGAAACAGAATACTGACCGTTTTGGGCTGTTCTGCGGTTGCACACTGGCCTATAATTTTTACAAATAGTTTTTGGTATACTCTTCCCATATTTATTACTTAATGTGGTCTTTATTCTCTATTAAGGTTCAATCTTTATGTATTTTTATTGAAGTCATTTAAAATTCTAGGAAATAGGGAATGACTATAAAAAGAAATATAATCAAACCATCTACCTTCTTTCCAGTTTACAATAATAAAAAGAGTGATGTAGTAATGCCAGTACTGCCATTCTGTAAAAATTGTATTTTAAGTAAATGGTGCCTAGCAGGATTGCTGGCACGTGATAAAGTACTGTTGCTGCTATTTTGTTATTTTTTAGAAAGTGGACTCGTAGAGCCGAAAAGGACCATAAATATTGTGTTATCTAATTCTTTTGTTTTATGAATGAGAAGACTAAAGCCCAGAGAGAGAATGTGGCTTGCCAAATCTTAGACTGCTAGAATAGTGGGAAACTGAGTCAGAACCGAGGTTTCTTGGTTCTTCCCACTATACCCCATTATCCCCCATGACCTGATAGATCCCTATGTTGCCTCTACCCATCTTCCCACTAGACTTTAAATCCTTGGCAATCAGGGACAACATCTTGTTCACCATTACATTTGCAATACTTAGTGCCTGACAGGTAGTAGAGGCTCAGTAAATACTTGTAGAATGTTTGAATAAGATAGGTCTTATGCCTGTGGGTAGGTAAACTGGGGCTTTGTCAGAATTGTCAAACTTGCAGCATTGGGTCTCAAGGGCAGCAGGCTCTGAGAGCTGTGGAGGAACAGATTGGCTGGCAGCTGTTTTTTAGATTAGATTCCATAGGATTAATGTGGGATTTAGGAGGCTCTAGTAACAACATTGATAAAGTTTTTATGTTGTCAAGTTCCCTTTAGCCTTCTATTGCATTAGCAATAGCTTATGACAATATTTGTTATAGGTTCTATGAAAAACCTGTGTCCCATTGAGTAGTAATTAAGCCTTAATTAAGTAAAAATTAGCTACATCATTTTGTTTTCTAATGTCCAAAAGCTTGAGTCTATGGTTCAGAGTGGGGCACATCAGAATTGACCCAACCAAAGTAGCTGTGCTTAATACAACCTGTGTGTGTAAGGAGACAGACAGAGACTGACTGACTCAGCAATGTTAAATGCATGCCCAGTAAGTATTGGAGCATGCCCAGACTTGTCCCTCTTCCTTAAAATGAACAAGTGAAAATACAAGTGCCTTTTAGGTAACAGATACCAAACAGACGCTCATAAGTGATATGATACTGGAGGACTAGCTCTAGAATTGATGAAAGAAGGCAAAACCAGAGAGGTGGGGAGGCTAGTCTAGGGGAGGTTTTAGAGAAGTAGCAGTGTAAGCTTGAGTGAAATGAATTGACCTCCTTCTGTCTCATCTATATAAAATGTCGGTTGTTATGCCCTACCTACTTGCTGGGCAGGGGAATTTACTGAATGCTTTCTTAAGATTCTTTCCACCTCAAAATTGAAGTATCTAGAAGTGGCTTAAAGGAGTTTTAAAGGGTGGAGGCAAAAAAAGAAAGGGGTGAGGGCAGTTAGAAAGTTTTGTAAAAATGTAAGGATTAGGCATAGCAAGTTGTGTGTAGGGAATAGTCAAAACAATAACCATGAGGGAGAGGAGACTATAAGAGAAAGAAGAGGTAGTGAGTTAAAAGAAACCATAAGAGGGCTGGCTGAGTGGTGTGTTCATTAAGAGTTGGCTTGGAATGCCAGCTCTGAACAGCAGGGCCCCGGTTCACCCACATGAGGACCAGTGACACTGCGCCCTCTACAGCTAAGATGGTGAACCAACAGCTTGACCTGGAGCTGGGCTGCTGTGAGTGGCCTTCCAATGGCCGGCGAGCGACTGCCTCACCCGGAAAGAGCACAATGATAATACCAACATGGGCCAATGAAGTGACGTCCTCCACAACTAGATTGAAGAACAAAAGGACAGCAACTTGTCTGTTCCCCTCCCCCAATTCCCCAATAAAAATCTTTTTAAAAAACCCCATAAGGGCTTGATAATGGCCATGGGCAGGCTGAGAGAGAAGGAGGGAGGGAAGGAGGGAGAGAGAGAGATCAAGTGGATGAACTGGTTATTAAGAGGACAAATCTTGTTAAAAGTAACGGAATATATTTGGAAAATGAAGATAGCTTAAGGATAAGTGACATGGAACTTAAGGAGAGTGGCAGGTTTTAGAGGTGTCAGTAATTCTGTGACATATTAGAATAGAAATATCCTGGTAGTGTTCAGAGGGGCCAGGCAGGATGGCGAGGGAACTAGCCTTACTTAGCGCTTCCTGCCATGTTGGGTACTTGACATACTTCATTTCATTTAGTTCTCACATTAATCCTACAGGATTTGTAGTATTAGTCCCATTTTACAGCTAAAGAAAATGCAGTTCAAAGAGGTTAAGTAACTCAACCAAGAACTTCTCATTTCAGTAGAGTAATAGAGATGGAATTGAAATTAAGGCCCTGACTGCAGACCTGTGCTCTTTCTATCAAACCATTGTCAGAACCCTGTGACAAAAGGACATGTGCTTGGATCTTTGTCTTGAAATGATCCACCTTTGAGACAGAAAGCTGCCTTTCTTTTTTTTTTTTGTTCCATAATTTATACCCTGTCTTGTTCTAAAAAGATACAAGGTTGCTACAGAGATGGGTAAGAAGCTGCTCAGTTACCTGGCTGGTTGAGGGGACTCAAATCCCTTTGCATTACACTAGGCCTTTTGGAATACAGCTGTGGAAAAGTGTTTCTATCCATCTGTAAACGAATACTAGTATACTTGTATGTCCAGAATAGGCAAATGTGTAGAGCCAGACAGTAGTAGATCAGTGGTTGCTTAGGGCTGGAGGAGAAGGAGGGGTTTAGGAGTAATAGATAGCTAAAGGCTATGAGGTTTCTTTATGAGGTGATGGAAATGTTCCAAAACTGATTGTGGTGATGGTTAATAACTCCATATATACTAAAAACTATTAAATTGTGCACTTAAAAAAATGAAAGATACTAGTGTGCACAAGGCAAATAACCCAGGTCATAAATATACAAGGGAACGATTGTAACAGATTTTCACCCATTTCTGGGTGCATGGCAGCTACAACTAGGCCTAAGGAAGCGTTGGTTTCATTCAGATATTGGCGGGGGCTCAGCAGGGAATGAGTGATGTTCACATACCCAGGCCAGAGCTGAGAGGAGGGTCCTCTACAGCTTTTAGCTTCCTGGTGGGACTCAGCTCTGCCCCGCCTGGGAGTTTGATTGAGAAACTAATGTGGTGTGGGTATGTGAGAGTAGAGTGATGAGTGAGCAACTGAGAGCATGAGCTGTCTAATGTTTTATATCTTGTATTACCATTTGAAAACCCTTTAAGCAATGTTTTATAAGCATTCAATCTTCCAGCTTTCCAGCTTCATGTTTATATTGGCCGTCCCTCTTTTTCTTTGTTTGTAAGTCAGACTCATTGTGGTTACGGGTATTTTTAGGCTAACCAGACATCCCAGAAACCATCTGGCCTCTTGGCAGTGGAAATTTTAAGCCATTTGCCTTTCAGACAACGCTGCTTTCTCTTGTTTATGACTTCATGATGTGTTTGTAAGCAAGAGCTTCCCCAGACATGCTGGGTTTGCTCTATGGCAAAGTAGAGTAGAATGTAAGGTCAGCATGCTGTGGTAGAAAGCGCAGGCCTTAGAATCATAGAGATACATGTTTAAACCTTGGCTTCAGTTGTATAACCTTGGAAAGATCACTTCCTTCAGTTCTTTGTGAATTGAGGATAATGATATGTGTCTCACAGGGTTTCTGTATGGATTAAATGAGATACAATATATTTGAAACACTTAGCACAGTACCTGACAAATAGTAGATTCCTAATAAATGTTTAAGTTTTCTTTCCTTAAAGAGGAGATAGGCATTTCTGTACATATTTTTATTAATTTATAAGAAATTTATCGAATATATCCATTGTGTGTCAGGCACTGTGTTAGGGTTTGAGGATACAGAAATCAGTTTGTACAAGGTGTAGGAGTAGATACTTGCCCTCTTTTTTAGCGAAGGTATTATTTGAGCTCTTTCAGTCCTAAGAACATTATCAAGTTCATTGCAGTTGACTATTCTCAGCCAGCATTTTGAAGCCTCTTTACATGACCAAATACTACAATAATACCTGTATGTTGTGTTTATGGTTTATACAGTATTTTCATATTCATGATTTTTGTAACTGTGTGACGGTAACACAGTGGGGGGATGGAGTTATATAGGATCAAAGATTTTGTATGCTATTGAAATTGAGTTACTATTAATTTGAAATAGATTGTTGTAAATTAAGATGTTAATTGTAATCAATTTTCAAGGCAGCCACTAAGAAAATAACCTTAAGCTTACACAGTATTATATGTCAGTTATATCTCAGTTCAGTTGGAAAAAAAGAAAAAGCAGCCAGATTGCATATCTATTCACAGGTGACATTTTTTATTCATGCGAAGTCCTAAAGAATTCATGAAAAAACTATTAGAACTAATAAACTAGCAAAGTTATAGGATACAAGATCACCACACAAAAATCAGTTGAATTTCTACACACTAACAGTGAGCAATCTGAAAATATAATTAGGAAAGCAATTTCACTTGCAATAGCATCAAAACGAATAGAATAATTAAGAGTAAATTTAACCAAGATGGTGTAAGGTTTGTACCCTGAAAACTATAAAACATTATTGAAAGAAATTAAAGAAGACTTAAATAAAGGGAAAGACCTGTGCTCATGGATTAGAAGACGTAATATTTTTATGGTGGCAATACTCCCCAACTTGTTTTACAGATTCATTGTAATCAATATTCATTGTAATCAATATGTAATTAAAATTACAACCTCCTTTTTTGCAGAAATTAAAAGCTGATACTAAAATTCACATGTGGAATTGCAACGGATCCCAAATAGCCAAACCAATCTTGAAAATTAACAAAGGTGGAGGACTCATACTTTCTGCTTTCAAAACTTACTGCAAAGCTATAGCAATCAAAGAGTGTGGTACTGAAATAAGGGTAGATACATTAATTTTTGGAATACAATTGAGAGTCCAGAAATGAACTCATACATCTGTGGTCAGTTGATTTGATTTTTGATAAGAGTGCCAAGACCATTCAGTAGGGCAAAGAATATGCGTAGTCTCTCTGCAGACTGTGCTGGACAGCTGGATATCCACATGCCAAAGAACAAAGCTGGACCCCAACCTCCCACCATATACAAAAATTAAGTCAAGTTAGATCAGATACTTAAAAATAAGCACTAAAGCTATAGAACTCTTAGAAGAAAACTCTTGGAGAGTGCAGCTGTACAAGTACTGCTCTCCTGTAGCGCTTGAGTGCTGTGGTGAGGTGGACCCCAATGACTGGGTGCTTCTGTGGGTCAGGATTATCGTCTCATCAGTCTCATCAGTCTGGCTCTAGTGCTTTGCACAGAGTTGGTGCTCAGTAAAATCTGGTACTCACTAAATGAATAGAAGAGACAGTGACAGTTTCAGTTTACCAAAAAGATTTTAGATGGTTAGAAACTATTTTGAGCGTCTTTGTTGTGCTTGAGTGCTGTAAGTGTGGGTTTCCTTCCTGGGCCCTTTCTTTCACCATAATGGAGTTCGGGGGTATGTGAAGATGTTCTCCCCCGCAGTAGGTAGTTGTCATGTGTACCTCCTATAACTTGGGCATGTTGCCAATGTCTTTAAATTTGATTCTGTTACTGCTGACAAAATGGAATCGTAGCCTGTTCTTTAAAATTATATTAAGCTAATTCTTGTGGAATGTTTAGACCTTAGAGCATAGATCCAGCCTGTGTGAACACCTCTAATGGCATGGAGCTCAGTGCCTCCCAAGGCAGCTATCAGTCGACTGCCCTATTGTGAGTTACAAAGTTTTTTCTTTGGTTGATCAGAAAATCTTTTCCTCTAAGTGTCTACTTGTTTCTCCAATGGAATCGTGCCAAACAAGCCATATATTGGGTTGTCGGAAAAGTCATGACGCATTTTTGCAACGAAAAAAAGAAAATACGTCTTGACTTTTCCGACAACCCAGTATTTGAAATAATAATTCTGTCTCTTTCAGCTCGAACCATTCCTCTTGACCCACAGAATATGTTATTCACTCCTGCATTTTAATCAACCATTCAGTTCACTTCTGGGTGGCTTACTCCACTGAGAGTCCGTGTGAGTCCTGGGAATGCAGATGGGTTTCAGTACTATTCTAGGTAAAGTACAAGCCAGCCTGACTTCTAAGTAGCTGCCTTTGCAGGGTGATACTGAATTTCCTACCTGCCCCAGAGTGTACCTCCCACTCGATAGTAAAATGCTCACATTATTTCTTTAGGTTCAGTGTTGAAATTTCTTGATAAAATGCAGACAAGTGATGTAGGTTGGCCAGCACTTTCTCCTATTAATACCAGAGTGGAGCCACCTAGCAAGGCCATGTGGCCATGAGACATTGAGTGGGAGGAATAACACGGAAATGCTGGGCTCAGCCATTGTGGGAAGGTCGGACAGGCCTTTGCCACAGATGTAGGGAAAGGAGAGCACCTCGGGAATATACCTTATTACCACCTTTATAAGTTTTCTCTGAGCTAATCTTGGCATAGTGAAACTTTAAAAGTAAGTCTTTTGCTACGAAAAAAGTAGATATGATGTATTCCATTCCAAAGCTAAATAGAACTACTCAAGGAACTAATTTCTGTTTGCGATCATCTGCATGACTATGTGTCCCCCTTGACTTCTGGCAAATTCTTATTTATCCTTCAAAATACAAATGCCACAGAAGGGCTTTTTCAACCCTGCTCTCATTTCATCCCAGGTAATTAATAACTCCCTCTTTTATGCCAATCTGTCTTTTAGGCACACTTTTTGTGTTGTACCTTTTCACTGTGTTGTATTGAATTTATTTGTGTGCCTCACTGGGCTCTGATTCCTTGAAAACCCAGACATTCTTCTCTGTGTTTTCAATGCCCAGACATTGCTTACCAGTGACTAGAATATAGAAAATGGATGATTAATGCTTGTTGAATAGAGTTGTAACACAGGTGTATATCAGTTGCAAACCTTTGCAAAAGCACTATTCTGGTGAGAATACACCAGCCGTGTATTAGGCAAGAGTTGGAGAGTAGAAAACAAAGGTGAGTAATGGGATAAACAGGAATTCCTGCTTATAGTTTGTGGGGCAGGTGACAGCCATCTGCACCTAATTTTTACCCTAACATTAATGTTATAACACAGGTACTGTGGGATTCGGTTTGGGTTGTAAAGTTATAATATAATGTATGCATAAGACAAAACAAGCCATGTGTTCTTGCAGTCTCTTAAATCACCAGGATTTAGGCCTTTGGAAGCTCAAATGTAATGGATTAAGGGAGAGACTACATTGAATGTTGACTCCCTACATAAAAATCTAGTGCACTGCTGTGCATTTTGTAAGTACTTAAATACTTGTTTCATGGCTGATTCAGATTGTTTAGGGAGACATTTGGAGGAAAAAAAAATTGTTTCCAAAGGTGATTTTACACTGTATCCACCCTATTAAGGAAGGTGAGTGTCCCTCCATCTCTCAAAGCATGAACAAAACTGCGATTGGTCTTGTGTTATTTAAACAGATCTAGTTAGGAAACAAAGACTTAAACCAAATATTCCCTCTGGAGAACTCTTTCTCTTTTTACAGGATTTGTTCTTAGAATGCATTTTGTTAATAAACTAACTCATTTTCTGTTGTAGTTGCCCGAGGGAATTGTCTTGCTTGGTGTGTGGCTTTGAAAGCACAGAAGAGATTGTGGGGGCTTTTTTTCCCTTGGCTCACATATGGGCTACTTTTGACTATTGGTCTTTTATTTATTCTTTTTTAGGAACCTAAATTCCAAGGTGGAAAGGAGTCAGAGCTGCAGTGACACTGTTCAGGACAGAGCAAAGAGCAGACTCAGAGCAGCCCCAACCAGCAAAGCCAAGGTATAGTCAGACACAGGCTCCCGGGGCTCTCAGTCCATCATGACCTCCTGCCCGGGGCATCCAAATGAGAGGTGGCAGAATGGGCCCAAGGCAGAGCAGTTATGTTGGAGAATTTTACAAATAGATATGAAGGAAGAGCGTTGGAATTTGTAGTCAGATGGGTGGCATGAGGGTTTGCAGAAGAACGTTTTTAAAAGTTCCAGATGAGTTTTTTTTCCTGTAGACTTTCAATTTTATTAATTGTTTCACGTTTATAGGAATTTCTGTAAATGGTGTACATTCTAGGTTAGGGATTTCCCCCATTTCTTAGGCTCACATCACATCACCCTTTATCCCATTTCTTACCCTTCCCCTCCCTATCCCTATCCCATTATGAAGGAATTATGAATACACACACACACACACACATACACATACATATATATGTATATGCATGCATGTATAATTTTTTAAATCTGTTTTAGGTCACAACGATAACCCCAACCTCCAACCCCATCATTGGTGTCCTCTTGTCCACTCAAAACAACCGCTGCCTCTCAGCCCCTGACTTAACTGTTGAAAAGCGCCTGCCCTTCAGCTCCCTTTCATCCTTGGCCTCCCTGCATAAGCCGGAGCGCTCCATCAGTCCAGAGAGCAATGACAGCATCTCCGAAGAACTCAACCATTTCAAGCCCATTGTCTGCTCACCATGTACTCCTCCCAAGAGACTCCCTGATGGCCGCGTGCTAAGTCCCCTCATCATCAAATCAACGCCCCGCAACCTAAACAGAAGCCTGCAGAAGCAGACTTCTTATGAGGCCAGTCCTCGGATCCTCAAAAAGTGGGAACAGATCTTTCAGGAGCGGCAGATCAAAAAAACCCTTTCGAAAGCCACTCTCACCTCCCTGGCTCCAGAAACAGGGGAAGACTTAGTGGTCTCTGAAGTTATCCATTCTAGCAAAGAGAAGCCACTTCCGGCTTTAAATACAAGACTGTCCAGTGGGCATGTACTCTCTGAGTACACTGGACCCACCCCCGCTGACCTTGATTATTTCCCCTCTGTTAGCCAAACGAAAGCAGAACAGGGCAGTGATAGTAAAAGGAGCACTGAGATCCCACCGGAAACCTGCTGTTCTTCAGAACCCAGAGTGGGAGCCAGTGGAAAATCTTTGGAGAAAGAGCAGTTTGAAGGGTCAGGGTCAACCCCAGATGCCAAGTTAGACAAAACCTGTATAAGCACAGCTATGAATATCTCGACAGTTAATTCAGTGGTACCCAAAAACAGTGTTTTGAGTGGGGTCCTCAAAACAAAGAAGCAGCTGAAGACAGCAAATCACTTTGATCTGCCTAATGGGGTTCTGGCAGACAGCCTGGGTGAGGAACCGCCGCCTTCCTTGCGTCGGGGCCGGAAAAGACACTGTAAGACCAAGCACTTGGAACAAAATGGCTCCCTTAAGAAACTGCGACAAAGCGGCGGTGAGGTGGGTCTGGCTCCAGCAGACCCAGCGCTGCGGGAGATGGAGCAGAAGCTGCAGCAGGAGGAAGAGGACCGGCGGCTGGCCCTGCAGCTGCAGCGCATGTTTGACAATGAGAGGCGGACTGTGAGTCGGAGGAAAGGAAGCGTGGATCAGTACCGCTTACGGTCCAGCAGCATGGCCGGGGCCAAGTAGCACCCAATGAATAGTGTTACCTATTTTTAAGATGTCTTTGGGCTTGATCACTTATCCTGAAGAGCTGAGTGTTCTCACTTTGGGTTTCTTGTAATGGCAAAACACTGTCTCATGTGGCTCTGAGAGATTCCAGGGCCTTTGTGGCCTGTATCCAAGGAAACTGCGCCTCTGCCTCCCTGGGACCCAGGCCAGGAGCACTTCCCACCCTCTAAGTGACCCATGCCCCAGGGCTTCTGGGCCAAACCTGGCAGCACCCACTTGGAACGAGACTCAGGAGCACAATGGCCAGAGTTAGAAATGGTAGCGGAAAGAGGGGATGGATACCTTCTCAAACTGATAGGCTTCCTGACTTCTTTCAACAGGGTTTTTTTTTTTAAATCAGCCTTGCAGATAAAAATTAGTTTCATTTTTTTCAAAGAAGCAGACCAGTGTAGTTCTCTGGCAAATCCAAAACCATTTTGTTCCCCTTTTTCCTTACCCTTGCCACAAGTAAATATATCTAATGAAATCAGTTGAGTTTATGCTTCTACAAAAGTTAACTTACATTCCCTGTTTAAAAAATAACATTTGATTAATGCAAGTCGACAGACCATATTCACAGCCGTTGCTTAATTTGGTCTTCCCAGAAGACGTAAGATGTACATGGGATTAGCCCTGTTTTTAGATGAGGAAACTGCAGTGCAGATGTTTAGATTTTCTCAAGTGCTGAGTGGCACAGCCCAAACTGACTGCCAGGTCTCCCAGCAACAAATCCCACAGGTGTTCCACACTGACAGGTTCCCGTAATGAACTGCAACCCAAGGTGTGCCAGCAGAGCCTCGGGAACACCGACTAGGCGTTGAGAACCCATTGTGCAGAATCCACGTGCAAATAGTTGAGATGGACTGGAAGTAGAGACATATACTGTATGTTTATCACCACCCCCACAGTTTACAGCCTCCTGTTTTCCTAGGGATTTCACCCTGTGAGGTAAAGGACAGTTGGAAGTCATTATTATTCTCCACATGGCCAAGGGTTATCTGCAATGTTGATCTAAAATCCAAAAATTTTGCCCAGAAGTCAGGTAAGAACAGTGCTGAAACTCCATACTATGGAAACAAGGTATCTAGCTGGATGCAGCTGGTCAATTCAGTCCCATGGCCCTTTGGGGTTTATTTTCCTTAGCAGCTGACACCATGTGTCTTTGCACCCCTGGTGGTGCTTGGTGCTTCTGCCCATCTGGGCTCATTGAGAATAGGGATTAAGGTTTGATTACCGGGAATCTCAGATGGGCTGGCATTCCCTGTGCATGTATGAACTGTTACTATAAAGTCCTGTGACTGGCAATTTAACAAACCTTTCAGAGCTTATATATGTCCCACTGTATGTTGTTCCCCTTGAGTGGCCCCCAGCAGGTGAAACTGCATAGTTTTTCCAATGATGTTGCTGTTGGTGAAAACATTTCCGGAACTGCCCTCAAAGTCTAGAAACAGACTCTTAAAATGTTAGAACTGGAAGGGACCCTAACGGTCACCAATTCCAACTTCTTCCTCTTATTAAGGCAGAAACGGAGATCCAGAACAATGACTCAGTAACCAAGGTCACTAGGGATTGACTCACCTTCTTTTGCTTCTTCTCAGGAGACTTGCCTCCCTTCTCTGAGCAAATCTTTAATCTTTGGGGGTTCTAGGAGAATTTAGGTTTGAAACTAGTCAGAAGCTATGTGAAGCCTCTGGAAGAGAAGGTGGGTTACTAAGAGGGTTTGGAGTCATAAATGAGGTGCAGCTATGAAGTAGTCAGAGCCATTTTTTTCTGCAGCTCATAAACAGTTCCCAGAGAGAAGTTGCAGAGATGTCTTAAGCATTTCTGAGATACCTGGATCTGAGATATGTGGAACCTCCTTAGTGACTACTTTGGTGGGGAGTGTCACTCACCTGAATGTGTGTATTCTGTGTTCTCTGTGTCTGTGTGTGCACACGTGCAGATGTATGTTTGAAAACCATACATCAGTCTCCTTACTTCATATTCGCACCACTTCAGTTCTATGTCCTACCAGCAAAGGCTGCTGGAGGGTGTATTGGTGCCCAAGATAGAAGAGTTGGCACCGGTCTGCAGAGGACAGAGAGGGTGACTTATAAATGCCCTTAGAGAAAACATCAGTTACTGCCATTTCATACTTTTACTTTTCGATCTTACTAAATAGTATTGGGAGGTTGGTCTCAGCGGTGGTAGCAAAGACACTTATTTTTCCACTTGCCACCTTTTTCTATAGCTCCAATAATCTGGAAAAAACACTTTTCAGTTGGAACTGATTTTTGTTTTTGGAAAAAAAAGATAAATATTTTTAATAGAAAAGATATATATTTTAAATATTTCCCCCAAAATGATACTTTCATTTTAAGAAATTGCATAGCAGTAGCAACAAGTTTTAGCTTCAGGTGCAGAGTGAAAAGCTGCTTCTTACTAAAGCGAGTATTCCACACTTTGTATCCAGCTTACTGACTTTCCCCCTTGCACCTGCTGTGGTGCCTACAATGGGCATTGACAGTTGTTCTCCAAACATTCAGCTGAGCAGTAGTCCTTCAAACCTAGGCAAAGCAGTTTAGCTTAAAGAGGAGGAGGCTGATTCTTTAACCTGCTTGGCTTTGGAGGAGGAAAAAACCCACTAAGGTATTATCTGTATTTTAAGATGCTTCTTCCCATACTTAACTAAAACCCGAACACTTTTTCTTTCTGAAAAATCTCTCTCTCGTCACTTGATTGTGAAGTTGGTCACACATGGAGTTGTTGACATGAATTCTTTGGAGAAAAGGAGAAAAGGAAGGAAAATAGAATGATGGGGAGGGTTTCTGAGCTAGAATGAGAGACACACTATTTAACAAAACAAACATATTTCTCACAGATCATTGGACCCCCGATTCACATACAAATTTCCCAAGTTCTACTAACTCTGCTCCTTGTGTGTATGCATTCCTTGTTTTTTCTTATTAAAGGAGAAGTTATGAGAGGTTGGAGGATGGAGGTCATTCTGATGGGAAATCTAAGAAATGTAGTGCCCTGAGAGAGGGGCTCTCAGCCCTTTCCCAAAGGGTGGGAAGACACTGGGGGAATGTGTTCCTGACTCCGCTGATTGTATCTGCGGGAAGAAGTCACCTGGGCCTGTTGGGTTGGTGTCAAATCAGGGGAGTATGTATGCAGCCCCTGGCCCTTTTCATATAATTGCCTCTTTTTATAAGGTTAATTCTTCTTGGCTGAGGCTTCCCAGGAAAATCTTTTGTAAATGGCTTTTAATTTAATTTTTAAATTTCTGCCTGGAGGGAGCACCAGTGATGAATGCCTTCTCCTTCTCTGTGTGTTTTGTTCATTTTCCCTAAAAGAAAAATGCCCTTAAGAGATTAAAGCTGCTTAATTAATTGCTGTATGATTACAAACTGACAAACTGACTAAAGTGGGAAGCTGCCACTGTGCTTGACTGGTGAAGCTGATGACCGAAGGCTGTGCTGTTCGTCCTTTCCGTTCCGTGTGACAGACATTTCCTGAGCCTCGAACTCGTGCCAACCTTATGCTGGGTCATGGAGATACGGAGATGGAAAGGACAGTCCCGCTCTTGTGGAGCTCAATGTCCAATGGAATGTATTTGAATGTATATGTGGCTGGAGAGTTTGTTCATGGTCTTATGAAAGGCCACTTAGCAATGATCTTGGATGGTCCCATTCAAGTTGTTGTCCAGCACCAAGCAGGCTGCCTTGAACATGTCAGATATCCCTGTCAGTGTTGTGAATTTGAGTGCAACGCTGCTTTCCATTTCCTAAGCAAGTTTAGGAGAATGGATTTTCTCAAACTCCAGTGGTTATAATAAGATCTCTTCAGGAGCTGCTTTTAGCATAAGCCCCAAGAAATGAGGCAGGTTGTGGATCACTGATATGGTCAGAGGAGGCCCACATCTCAGCTGTGCAGCCTCCTAACTGCTTCCTCAAGCAGACCTCAACTGGGCTGCAGCAACTTGGGATTTGTTTCCTTTTTCCTGCCCGGCCTCTCATTGAGATGGAAGGCCAGCAGGAGAGGAAGGAAAGAAAAACTGAAGGCTGGATCATAATTATAAACTTATATAGCTGGAACAGGCATGGAAATCATCTAAGTCAAATTCTCCCCCTTGCTGCCCTTCTTTTTTAAGAAATTAGGAACTTGATGTTCAGTGCCCTGTGCCCTATTTTTTACTATAGTTTTCTAGGGTCTGAACAAATAGTCCTTTAAGTAGCGCGCGCACACACACACACACACACACACACAATTTAATAATGAGGGGACACCCAAATGATTTAGGAGGCCCTTTGTTTCAACAGTTTTTCTTCCTGATTTTTTTCGATTAGAATTAAAATGTACCAATATCCCCTGAATACACACCCAAGTAGGGGAAACCCCCACAGCGTGCGCAATGTGACTGTGGAATCTTGGGAAGTGATATATTTTAATTGGAACAGTCATTTTAGCTACCAAGTGTTAAAACTCAGCCAGCCCTTCATTTTTCTTTGAAAATCAAGAACTCCTTAGGGGCTTAAATCTTTCTCGGCCAGCCTTTTCCTTCAACCCATAGAGTGGTCTTTTGGCCTGGTTTTTAGAAGTGAATATAGTTGCTTATAAATTCTTGGGACTCAATGAGAAAGGAGGTCTGCTATTCAGAGGCTGCTGAATAGATTTTCCTCCAAAGATTTTCTTCCAAAGATGATCCAGAAATGAATCTTTACACATGCTTATTATCCACTGTAACTTGCTGAAGATGGTTCTACAGAGAAAGAAACTTAAGAGATATACAGAGGTCACCAGTTTAGAGATTGGTTAAATTGGATGAAGGAAAAGTGCCAAGACTGTATGTGCACATTGTTCTATGTATTATCAGTATTTTTTTTTCTCCTAAGAAAAATATTTACACACTTTGCTTTGTGAGTAAATGCTTCCTTAATGTCTTGTAAGTGTGGGAGGCAAGCCCAGACTTGGAGCAGGTTCCCTCTCTCTACCTTTTCTGGAGTCTTAAATCAAGAACTAGTTGGGACAAAGCCAAGGTGAGGCCAGGCTTGCTCATCCTCCTTTCCTCTAAGTGGTAAAAACAGGGAATGCATTCCTCAACGATGAAGCTGTTGGAGCTCAAGAGGAGCCTTTGGGTCCTGGCTCCAGATGGCAGCTTGTCAGGTTCTCCCCTGCTGGCCCTGCCCACCCTCCAAGCTGTGCCACCAGTGCGAGCATGGGTTCCCCCTCAGTGGGTTTAACCCTGAGCCTCCAGCAGAACGAACACTTACAAAGTCCTAATGAGAGAATGGATAACTATGCAAGCAAAGAATGGTTATCTTAAATGCCAACTAAGGGATTTGGGGGATGGGTGCTTGATGTGCTGTTTACTCTCAATTCTCTCTATATACAAACAGTTGTTTGTAGGGCCTTTTCCCCTCCCACCTAGAAATAGCAAACGGGTTATATATTGGTTTTATTCAACCAGTTAGAATTGGAGAAGGGGCCTGGATCCTTGTTGACTGCCACTGTTGGCCACCTTTGCTTAGACTCATCATGAGCATTTTGACAAAGAGGACTCAGAACAGGGCATGCCCTGTCAGGGATGCTTTTAAAAAGGAAATGGCATGAAATCAAATGGGATGATGTGTTTGTACAAATAGTACCAAAGTGCATTCTTCAATATGTGTTTACCTGCTTGAAGAGAGGCCCAAGTTGAGAATACGGTAAAGCAAACTCATGAAAGTGCTTGTTCTGTTTCTAGTCAAAGTCTTATCCCTGGAGAGTAATCTCAGGCAAATCTGGGCTGAGCTTAGACTCTGTGTGTTTGGTATTTGATGCTGTCTTTGCTCTGGGAGATGCCCCGTGTCAAAATGTCTTGCTTTGGCATTCAGAATGATGGGAGAAATTAGGTGGGATGGGGTTTCTTTCCCTAGTGTACAACTATGTCTTTTGAGTTCTAAGTTATTTCCAGTTTACAACTGTTCTAGTCAACCATTCTTCTAATGGCGGCATCAAGAAAGTTTTGAGTAAAGAACAAATGTACAGGATGACATTGTCCTTGCACATTAGGGCTGTACGCAGAACATCTGATGTTTAAAAATACCTTCTTTGGAACCATTGCTCAGGAACTCATCAAAATCCCCTTGGTGTCAGTTTCTCATCTAACAGAGAACAAATGTAAACATGTAAAACTAATTTGAAGGACTGATATGAGTCCATGCCATACATGGTAAACCAGCACTTCAGGGACCTTTGAAATCATCTGACCCAATCTCTTCCAAAGGAGGGCTGTTAAAATGATTTGCAAGAATCAGAGCACCTAGTCAGATATATAAGAACAGAATTTGATTGTCTCTTGGCCTGGAAAGTAACAGAAAATGCTCTACATACCACACGTTAATTCCCTTATAATCCTGTGAAGTGAAAGGGGTGGCCCTCACTCACAGATGGGAAACTGGCCCTAACAGCCTGAAGCTGGGTCCTCTGACTCCAAAGCCACTGATTGCTTTTTCTGCTGCCCTGGCTCAAATCAGCCTCAGGGTGGTGCCATCTTCCTCCACCGGCCTTGGCTACCAGGAGTTCCAGTTGCTTCCTGGATTGGCTTTTCTCCCAGAGTGGGCCTGACAGGGCCGGAGAGATCAATCAGTCTTACCTCTGCACCCACTGTGGAGGTGGGAGGTTATGGGAGGCAGCAAGAGTTGTGAGGCACATCTGCATTTAAATCAGTGCTGTGGCCACATCCTGCTCTCCCTGGGCGCTCGCTGGTACCTTTTGGATAAATGACTAGGAAAACAGATTCAGGCTTTGGAAAAATTGGTGGTGAGAGAAACTACTGCTAATGGTTTGCTCTTGTTAGAAGATTGGAGCAGGCTCAGAAGAGTGTGGCAGCCGGCTTTCCATCTGCTTATGGGGAAGGAAGGGGGCTCTGGGTGAGAGCCAGCCCAGGGAGATGAAGCGTCTAAGGCAGATCAGATGTGCTGGGGAGAGTGAGTGACTGTCCTGGCAACAGGAAGGGTGGGTACCACCCAAAGGCCTGATTAGTTATGAATTCTGGTTCATTTGACAAACTGAGTCAGGCTTTACTCACTAAGATGAGTACTAGGTCATATCTCTTCAAAAGCACAAAACTTGAAACCAAGCAACTGTTTTTAATACCCAAAGGACCCACGGAGATCAAAAGCCCCATTGATGCTACTGGTACGGTTAAATGAGCTGCCCTATATCATACAGCAAATAAGAGAGAGGGTTAAAAGTTGAGCCCCGGCAATGTGACTCAGTGTGGATTACTCCTGAGATAGAAACGAGTTGGACACAACAGGTAAATGAGATGCAACAGTTAACCTGTATGGGAGGATGGGAGTGAACAGCCTGATACCCCACCTTAAAACAGCAGGCAGGTTGGAGTTCTGTTTCTTCTTGGTCCCAATATTTTAAGGGAATGCCAAGGCAGTGCCTTTGGGAGCATGCCCAGCACTGGCTTCTAGTCGCCTTAGCCATAGCTGTGTATAATCCTCTTAAAATAGTGGGCTTGAGCTATTCCCCATTATGCCTACACATTCACTGAATCTTATTGAGTGCTTCCTGGACCCAGGCCCTGGGCTGAGCAGGGGTATTATTTCTTGGTACAATGCAGGGTGATGCCCAATGAGGTCAGACTGGGTCACAAAAAAGGAAAGCCCAGGTCAGTCTGAGAGGGGAGTTCAAGGACATACCTGAGCTGAGGCTGAAAGAATAAGAAACATCAGCTCCTATGTGGTTTAACCTAGGTCTTCTGAGATGAGTTGCAGAGCCACTGCATAGCCTTCTAGTGGCTTCTTTCCTGGAAGGTCTACACTGACATGATTTGGTTCCGCGTGAGGGAAAAGGGGCCAGCTCTACACCCTGCAAACAGCCTCCAACATGGAGAAGCCGATTATCAGGAATGTGGAGTGATCCTGGCAGCCTGGAACTCCAGGCTTGAGACTATGACAATGAAATGTAAAAAATCGTGCATCAGCTATCAAAGGTCAATTTCAAGTATAAAAAAGGGAAAGCAGTTCTGATATTAATAGTCTGCTAATAAAGGGTTAATAAAAGCCAAAGGGATTTTAAGAGCAAGTAAAAGGCAAATAAAATGTGCGGCTGTATAAAAATGTCCCATCCAGAGAAGGGAGTGGGCAATGCTGCTGTGTGCTGCGTTGGACACAGCTGGAGTCCTGCATCTAGGTATCCTGAGTAAAGGGAAAACCCCAGAACTTAGCAAGTCTAGGAGAGGCAATCAGTTTATTCAGATGGTATCCTGTGTGGAATAAGTGAGAAAGTGTCCTGGATAAGGATAGCCTCTTCAGGATGTTTTCCCATCAGTGAAGGGTTGGCCTGGCTGGGCAGAAAGAGATACACTCTTGACCAAAAAGCAGAGCTAGGACTATCGAGTGACTTAGGCGGACAGCTTAGCCCTCTGGCTAACAAAGGAGGGGACAGCCCTTGGAGGGAATGAGTCGCCTGGCACTAGATGTGCAAGCAGGAGCTTAGTGGTCTGTTGTGGAGTTTGCTAGGTGCTCCCTGCGCCTTGAGAGGCTGGGATAGGATGTTCCCAGGAGCCTCTTGGGCCTGAGAGCCTATGGTTTGATAGTGTTTTGTTTCTGGCTGAAGGGAACAGTCCACTTCTCCAGAACTGGAACCTAGCGAGGTTTACAATATGAAAGTTGGAGTGGATTCTCCTTCCTGAAAGGGAAAGGTGGTTTGGCGCCCCAGGAGATCCAGTGAGTCCGCAATATGTCCCTGCACTGGAGCGCTGCTGTGGGTCACATCATTGCCTATACCTGTCCAGGTGCCTGCGTGAATGAGCGAGATATGACTGTAAGTTGATGTGTGTATCTGTATGTGAATGTGTCTGGTATGGTAAATATTTAACTGGCCACGTGTGTTGAGACTGTGGTTGAGTATGATAGTATGCAAAGATTGTGCCCTAAGAGTCTCACACTCAAAATACAGCATATTCCCCATGCTTCTTTCGGTTAGCTCTGTGGCTACAAGACTTTCTATAATCACCTTAATTACCACTTAGTTGTGGGAGTTTGTGTCTTTCTGAGGATCCTTAATCCTTGTGCCACTGCTTCCTGGACCCTGGGAACTGCAGACCGGCTCTCCAGGTGAGAATTGTAGGCATCCCCAGGAGAGCAGCCTTAGGTGCTAGGGTTGCCCAGGTGACTAGGTCATACGCAGCATCCGTCTCTGGAATTCAGCCCATGGCCTGCCCCAGGTCCTCTTTAGCGGGTGCTGACTACTAGGCACACACAAGAATGGGGTAACCCCACAGGCTGCCTTGGCCATGACTAGTTTACTTACTGTGAGCCCAGGCTGACCTTGCACAGCCCTAGGGTCCGTTTTAGCGCCACATGTCTGCATATGGGGCTTCAGTTTGTGTTGATTAGAGGACCTAGTAAGCCCTGTCCTCAGCTTATCCCAACTTCTTGGCCATGGCTATCTGATAAGGGAATTCCCAATCCTCTCTTCCCCTTTCCCATATTTGCCCTCACAATGGAAAAAGCTGCCCAAAGAAAAAACACCCTTTCTGGAGTTTGATGGCCTCAATTTTGCCACCGCCTTCCAGCACACACACACTTCATTGGCCGTGAGCGAGTCAGTTATGGCCTCTGAGCCTTAGATTCTGGGCCACCCTGTTTTCTATCCTAGCACTCCACACAGCTCTGTTGGACACGTGTGGCTCAGGCAGGTCCACAGCACTCTAGGGATGGCATCAACCCGGGATCTTTCCGCAGTGTGACGGCCTGGCCCAGATTCCAAGAAAGAACAGTAGGCTACCCTGCTCTCTGCACCCACTCTTTATTGCTGCTGGGCCAGGCGCTGGACCCTACAGGGCCTGGAGAGGAGAGGTCCTGACAAACTCCCTATTCTGCGGCCAGCCAGCAAGGCTGAGCTGAGCTCCGAGGTCCACACCCAGCCCAGCCGCCCCAAGGCGCCGCCATCAAGGGTGAGCGGTCGAGGGTGCGGAACCCTTGGGGAAGCGTGGGGCGCAGGCCCGGCGGCGCACATGGCCCTGTAACGCAGCTCTAGCCTGTCGAATCACTGGCCGTGGGCTCCTGGCAGAACTCATCCATGAACTGGAGGAAGCGGCAAAGCTTAGGCTGGCCCTCGCTCAGGGCCGGGCGGGCAGGGGGCGGCGCTGTGGCCCCGAACACTGTCCGCAGCGAGCAGCGCACCAGCTGACGGTAGCGCGCCTGAAACTCCTTCAGCAGCCGCTTGGCCTCCAGGTACTGCTTCTGGTTCACCAGCCGCCGCTCCTGGCGCAGGACAGCTCCTGCAGGGAGAGCAGCCAGGAGGGGCAGCACGCTTGCTCTAGGTCTCCCCCAGCCCAAAGCAGCGGGAGCTGGATCCAGAGCCCCCAGAAAGTGGGATGGGGTGGGAGAAGGATGGTCAGGGGACTGAAAAATAGCCTCTCCAGCTTGGGGCATTAGGAAGCCAGCAGTGTCCCCTCCTGACTCTATCTCAAGCCTTAGTTTCAGTCTGTAACATGCTGAGTGTGACTTCAGGCAACTCCCTGCCTCCCTCAGGCCTCAGTTTCTCCATCTGCACATGGGAAGGGCTGGGACAGATGCTCCCTAAAAGCCCTCCCTGCTCTGAGACAAGCCCTTTCCCTTATCCCAGCAGATGAGGAAGCTTCTAGATCGCAGGTCCTGGCAGCTGAGGACTGGGGGCCAGAGCCATACCTAGTGGAGCCTCTGTAATGTTCTGGGGGTCCCGCATGCGAATGAGGATGTCATCCAGCAGCTGGGCCCGAGTCTTCCGTGGGGGCGGAACAGGGATCCTCTGGGCGTGACAAGGTAAGAGAGGAGAGTGTTATTCCAGTCTGATGCTCAGACTGTCCTGGCCTCCCCTCATACAGTCACAGCCGCAGGCAGGGGAGCAATTGGGGGTCCTGGGAGAGCATGGCCCTTAGAAGGCCCCATGGTGACAGCCACCTCTGTACACTCAGTGAGGTGCAGTTTTACCCGTTTCTCCTTGGGAGCGTAGTATTTCTGAAGAGCGTCCCGCTTGGGTTTGGATGAGTGGACCAGGAGTGGGTGCTTGAGCATGTGCTGCAGGGCCTGTGTGTTCTTCTGGATCCCTAGGGCAGCAAGGCGAGGTGCAGTCCAGACACTGCCCCCTCCTCGGTGCCCCCCCCCAGTTCCTTCATTCCCCATCTCATAGCCGCCCTGGATAAAAGGAGGAGAAGCCCCAAGAGGAGAAACACTGTTCCCACATCTCTCCCTGATCTGTTGCAGTGTCCATCATTCATTCAGTGACTCCTGGTCCCCTATAAGCACAGATCCTAACAGGAAAACAGCACTGGAGTGCGGGGAGGGGGTGATCCCATAGGTTATTGTAACCCCATTAACCTCCGGGGGGTTACACTGCAGGGACTGATGCCTTAGCACAGCTGAGCGCCAGTTCCTTTGAAAGTACCAATACTATTCACACATCAGTCTGAAATAAGGGGCTCAGAGAGGGCGCTGCCTCCCTTGCCTCAAACCAGATAGGGAGGATTTGGGATGTTCAGTTTGGGGTTTAATCGGGCTGGTGAGGAGTTCAGGAATCTGGCCAGTCTGCACATTTGTTCATCAAATGCTTCCTAGAGAGGCTTTTCCAGCCGGAGCTAGGCCCAGACTGGCTGGAATCTCTGAATAGCTGTAGCTCCCCAAAGCCAATTTTGCCCCAGGCCAGGGGTCCTGACATGTAGGGCTCCAAACCAGGACACCTGCAGGGGCCTTTGACAGACACTGAGATAGAAGACAGCACTCTGGCCTGGAAACGGGGCTTGGCACCAGCCATGGCTTTGCCCTGGCTTGGTCTGGGCCGTGGAGCGGGCCCCCTGCCTCGGAGCCACTCTCCTCACATACCCTTCGGCTCAGCGAAGGCTGGATCAGGCTTGGCTGTCAGCAGCTCCTCGTAGCCGTGGTACTTGCTGGGGAGTGAAGCAGGTGGAGGCTTCTTCTGGGTCCTCTTTGCCTTTCTGGGTGCTGGGGATGGGGGTACCCTTTGGTCTTTCTCCACCTCGGAATCATCCCTCTGGAGAACGGAGTAAGGCAGCCCACTCACCTGTGCTCAGGAAGAAAAATACATTCATTCATTCCATTAACACTTCTGAGCATCAGCTCCATGTGCATCCCTGCGCTGGGCCCTGTTAAGGGCAAGAACCAAGACTGGGGTGGGAGAAGGCAGACATGAACATAGACAATGACCGTACGCCTCGACAAATGCTGTAACAGAAGGGAGCATGAGGGTTCTGGGTGAGCCCACAGGAAGCCCTAACCCAGCCCGGGGTGCCAGGGAGCTTCCTGGAGGAGGAAGTGATGCCTTAGCCTGAGCTAAGTCTTGAACAACCAGGATAGCCATCCCAGCAACTGGTGGGGGGAGGAGCGGGCTGCAAGTGATGAGAAAGGAGGACTGTTGCAAGCAACGGATAGCATGACACTATTATATACAAAGGGTGCTAAAAAAATGTATATACATTTTAAGAAAGGGAAAAACTATTAAAATTGTAATACTCAATATATACCGATAAAAAAGATGAATGCAAGTCATGTGTATACATTTTTTTGGCAGCCCTGGTATTATAGCAAGGCACACAGGTAAGACACAGCAAGGGAAATTTAACACTGGGATAGCTGGAGTGCACCGAGAAGAGACAGGCGGCTGGAGCAATGATCAGGGTCCAGGTCAGCAAGGACCTTTAAATTCCAAGCTGAGGGTGTTTGTTTTGTTTTTATTTTCTTCATCCTCACTGTGATGGAATGGCAAGCTGTGGGGGAAAGGGGTGCATGAACATTGTCTGAATTAGCCTACCCCAATTGGCTTTATAAGAAACATCTTTATGAAACCTATGTTTCATGTAGGGATGTAGTTAGACTCACTATTAAACTTTATGGCTGACTAAAAAGACCTATAACAAGTAGAGATTGAATCAGCAATTTAAAAGCTTCCCACAAAGAAAAGCCAAGGACCAGATGGCTACAGTAGTGAATTCTACCAAACGTTTAAAGAAGAATAAACGCCAATCCTTCGCAAACTCTTCCAAAAATTAGAAGAAGGAACACTCCCAACTCGTACTCTGAGGTAAGTATTACTCTGAAACCAAAACTAAGGAAAGACTTCACAAGAAAGGAAAACTACAGGTCCATATCCCTGTGAATATAAACACAAAAATCCTAAAAAAAAAAAAATTACTAGCAAACTGAATCAGCAACATATAAAAAGGATAATATGCCATGACCAAGGGGGATTTATCCCAGGTAGGCAAGGTTAGTTTAATACCTGAAAAACAAGTAACGTAATCTATCATATCAATAGATAAAGGCCACAAACCACATGATCATCTCAATAGACACAGAAAAATATTTGGCAAAATCTAACACCCCTTCATGATAAACCACTCAACAAGCTAGGAATAGAAAAAATTTCCTCAACCTGATAAAGGACATTTACGAAAACCCCACAACTAACATAATTAATGGTGAAAGACTAAAAGCTTTCCCGCTAAGATCAGGCATAAGATGATGATGTCTGCTCTTGCCACTTCTACTCAACATTGCACTGGAGGTTATACCCTGGGCAATTAGGCAAGGAAAAAAAATGATTTTTTCCCCAATTATGATGACTCGATTGATTGTATTGCTTTGGTTGCTAGGAAGCTCAGAATTGCATTTTGGTAATACGCCTCTATTATGAGAGCAGCAGCGCATGATGTGCATGTTTGAATGACTGAATTACCCTTGGACTTATTCTTTCCCTGTCCATATCTTCCTTTCATACAACTCTCTCAATTGTTTATTTTTTTATGGCTTATTTGGTTATGCTTTGCCTTATTCCAAAAAGGTTCTGTTATAGTTCACAAAGATGCTTTTACACTGTATGAATTTGTATGTCACTATAAGTCATCTGTGGAGTATGTAAGAGATGGATGGCTAGAGAGTCAGACATAAACGTGTGGACGGGTGACAACTTGGAAAGATCTGGCAGATTGGAGGGGCACGACTGGAGGTAGGGAAATCAGGGAGGGCAATGGTATGATAATACAAAGTTTAAGGGGGCCCTGCCAACTCTTCCAGCCTTGTTTCACTTTGCCTGCATGTCACCCTTCTGTTACACTGACACTGAACCACTCATGGTTCCTGCACGTACCTTTTAATTTCCTTCCTCTGTGTCCTGCTTCATGCTGTTCCCTCTGCCCAGAACGCCCTTGCTGCCCACATCTTCACATTGTTAACTCCTACTCAGCCTGCAAAGCTCATCTCATTTGAACCTCCTCCAGGAAGCCCTCCTGGTTTGGGGCAGAGGCATCCCCAGTCCCTCTAGGCTCCCAGCCCTGGGTTTTTCATTCTCAGCACTGACTGCAAGCATCATTCCTGTCCATCTCCCCATTAAGCTGAGGACATCTTGAGGACAGGACCATGTCTCATCCATCTGTGTTCCCAGGATCAGAGGCATCGCCAGAAGTGAGGTGACCTTAAGCAAACAGGCAGAGGCAGCAGCAACCCTTCCAAAAAACTGGTCAGAACCACACCCCAGCCAGACCCCAGGTGCTGTCTGCACCACAGGACCAAGACTTATCCCCATGGATCAGTGGATCTCCCAGAAGGGACCTGTAGGCCCTGCCAGGGTGCAGTGCTTGCTTCCAGCTGCCTACAGCAGCCCGGCCGTCTAAAGGCCATGCAGGAACCTGTGGGAACTCGGAACAAGTGGGCAGGAGCAGGTGGAGCCAGGCACCTGGGTCAAGAAGATGGACTCTGTGCTCTTGGCATCCTCATCTGACGGGCGCTCCGGGCTGAGGTGGCCAGCGGTGCCGCTCCGGTGGGATGTGGTCTCTTCACTATGCACAGTGGAGTCGGAGCAGATGGGAGGAAGTGGCACAAAGGTCCGGTGGGGCAGGGAAAGGCCCTCCAGGCTGTCGGTGGGCATCTCTACCTCCAGAGTAGTGTCTCTGGCAGCAGGCAGCATGTCAGCCAGCTCTGACTCTGGCATCTCCTTTGAGGGAGATTCGGTGGTCATAGGTAGGTGATGGAGAATCAGAGGCTGCTTTGGCACCTTCGGGACTTGGGTTTTCACCTGTCATGGGAGAAGGGCTGCTTTGCTTCCTGATCAGGATCTCTCCTCCTGGACCTCAGCAGCCTAAGGCCACTGGGTATCGTGCTCAGAGCACTGGGTGAGGACTCATAGGGGAAGGGAGGGAGCAAAGTCACACTCACTGGGCACCTATGATGTGCCCTGTGCATGACATATGTTCTTTCATACCTCAGAACTACCCAGTGAATAATTATCTTCATGTCATACAATAGATGAAGAAATGGGGAGGTAAAAGTCACTTGTCCAAGCCCACAGTTATTCAGTGGCAGAGACCGGACTATCTAACTCCGGTCCTGGGCTCCAGGCCTCATTCTGTACCCCTGACCATGTCACTCTGGCCCTCAGTAGCCTTATTCCTCTGATCAAGGTTTAAGACAGTGTCCTTTCCTCAGGGACTCATAGAGGGGGTGCGGGGGAGATGGTCCTGCATTTTCTGGAAGGCAGCAGCACTGGCCCCCCCGCCCCCATCCCTGTGCAGGAGGCTGATCCCTGCATCTTATATAAAGATCCATGAGGCAAATCTCTCTCAGGGTTCAGGACCAAAGGAATAACTTCTTTCCTGTGCAATTGCTCAGCCTCCTTAATTAGCAGAAGCCTGTCATCCTTCCTCCCTCCTCCTCTGCCATAGCTGCCAGGAGGGCGCCATGTGCTCAGCTGCCCTCAGCTGGGCTTAGTTCCTCCTCTCCTCCTTAGTTACAGGTGGGTTGGTTTTATTCTTTGTCAAAGGTATTTGGTCCACTTATACCTAGACTTTGACAGACAACATAGTGTCGTGGAAAGATCCCAAGCACTGTTGTTAGAGGAATGTGGGCTGGAATACAGTTCTGTCCTCTAAGCTTCTATCTCCTCTTAATGAAATGAGAGAATAGTCCCTGTCCTGCAATATTGCAGTTCTCCCAAATGAGATGATGGATGCAAATGTACCCAACAAACTAAATAGGGTAAAGGATGGCTGTTTTATAAACATTTCCTTTTTGAAAATATGTAAAACTTTAGTGTTTAGACTTGAAGCCTAGGGACCAAGAGTCTTTTTTCAGACAGAACCCATGCCGCAGTGTCCAAAACACCAAGGGTCACCATGTGCTGGCTGATGGGGAAGGGGTGACAGTTATTCCTCCCCCTCACAGGTCTGTGCTGGAGTGCCAGGGGGATGTCCTTTGTGTGTCCCACCACCACCTTGCCAGCCCCTTCCCTTGGGAAGGCTGGAATAACCGAATAGTCAGAGGTTGACAGTTCCTGGGCCCTGTGTCCCGGTGAACTGGATGGCCGAGCATTAAGGGCAGGCTGTTGTATCTGCCACCTGTGTTCTCACACACAGAGGGCTGCTTGGTTACACGTTGGATGGGTCTGGGCCTGCTCTGGCAGGTTCTCCATTTTCCTCCTGCTCTGTCCATGCAGGGGCCTGTGGGAGGGCCAGCAGCCTTTGTCCATGTAACTGATTGAGTGAAAGGCCCAGAGTCTGCTATGTCTATCCAGCCCATCTCTGGGGACATGTAGGCATCTCCAATCTAACTGGGGACATGCCGGCATCTCCAATTTAGCTAAAGGCCTAGCCACATTCTCTGTCCAGCCTGCACTGGAGCTTTGAGGGTATTTGGCTAGATTTACAAAACATTGGTTTGCTTCTCATTTCACTGCTGGCGTTTGTTTTTATATGCTTATCAGTCAGAGCCTTAGAGGTCCCCGGGGCCCAACACTAACTTTTAACAAGTTATTTCACTTTCCTGAGCCTGCATCCCTGTCTGTTGTGAGGCTGATGGAGCAGCAAGTACACGTGCATGCACTCAGTGAGTACTGGGCTCAGTGCTCTGTACACGGGAGAAGGACTGTGCACTCAGCACCCGGCTCGCTCTGATTCTGCCCCTCCCCAGGTGGCCGATGGGAAGGGAGGTAGCGGGGTCCTTAGAGGAGGCACAGAAAAGGGGAAAATGATGGAAACCCTTTGAATTTCTGTCTTTTTCTGGCTTTAAGTGCTGCTCTGGTCCTCTGAGGGCTCCAGACAAGAAAAACTTGGGCTGCGCAGAGGCAGGCTGTAGGGGGTTTGGGGGGTGGGTGGCAAGGGAAGAACTGCACTTAACTTCTGGTACCAGCAGTGCCCAGTCCAGCTTCTGGCTACAGAAGGGAGGAGCATTTCACAGAAATTTCTGAAATCCATCAGATGAAAGGAGGATTCAACTTAATTTATGGCGTCCCAGAAGGCAAGTCTGAGACACTGGCTGGGGAAGGTACAGAGGGAGCAGACTGTGCTCAACACAAGGAAATGCTCCCTAAGGTTCAGGCAGGAGATGTGTATTCTCGGCCTGACGCTGCTGTTCACGATCACCACAGGTGACTGTTACTGGCACTGGTATGGGCCTGGGGAGTTTCTAATGCAGTTTCCTATCTGTTGCTTCATCTAGTCAGCTCAGCAGCTCTGAGAGGTTTTAGAGTTGAGAAGCTGCAGCTCCGATAGTGAAAGTCTTGCCCAAGTTCAGGCAGCTATGAAAAGTGATGGAGCCAGGCTCATGCGGGGGTCTTCTGACTGATTTTTTTTTTTTAGCTGAGCCATCCTGCCACCTGTTGGCAGCTCAGCGGCTGCTCAGCTCGGGCTGGGAATTGAACCGCTGTTGCTCAGAGCTCAAACTCTTGAGCGAGCTCTTAACCAACTGAACCACTCGGCCGGCCCTTCTTCTGACTGATTTCTCCCCACATCTCCACAGCTCCTTCTCTGGGCCTCAGTTTCTCTGTACAGTTAGGGGGTCAGACTCCATGACCTCCCAGGCTCTCCTGCCTCTGCCTTTTGGGTTTCTCTGACGGACCGTCTCATCCCTCCTGGGCGTATCTGTATTAATAGAGCGATGAAAGGAGAAGACAGTGCTGCTACTACAAACCTACTGGGTGGGTTCCGGGCCTTGTGGGACAGTGCAGCTCTATCGCCAGCTTCGTCTACACGCATTCAAACAGGCTCCACTCCCTCTGGGATTGCAGGGGGGTCCTGCCTCGGAAGCCTTACCTTCCGCGAGTCCTTCCGAGACATCAAAATATGATGCTTAGCCTTCACTGTCTTCCTCCTAATTAAGTGGATCCCCAGCCGCTCCTGGAGGAAGCTTTTTAGCAGTGGAGGGACCCCTGGAGCCATGATGGGAAAATAAGATAACGATTAGCTAACATTTACTGGGGACTTACTAAGTGCCAGGCACTGTTCAAATTGCTGTACATATATTAACTTACTTAACTCTCACACTGACCCTAGGAGGTAGGTACCTATATTATTCCCATTTGATAGGTGAGGAAACCGAGGCACAGAGAGGCTAAGGAATTTGCACCAGCTAACAAAGATTATGTGGAGCAAGGATCAGAACTCCGCTGGTGTCACTCCAGGGCCCAGGATTCTAAAATGCCTTCAGCTGCCTCATTTGGACAGCAGGTTCCACGGCTGACACAGCACCCACTGTCTTCTGTGTGCTCTGGTAGGGTACAGCCCTGCACCCTGCCCCACCTGGGAAATGAGGTCACAACAGACCTGTTCCACAGAGCAGGTATCGCTTAAAGAGCTCATACAGGATTTAGATAATTCTGGATTCCATTCCTGGCTCCGCCTCTTTCTCACTGTGTGGCCTTAGGTAGGTCATGAACCTCCCTGATTCTCAGTGTCCCCCACTGTGCACAAGGACAATACGGCCCACTTCTCAGGGTTGTTGTCAGGATGAGCAGGTGTGGAGCAGCTGCTCGGCAGCATCTGTTGTTTTCACCATCCCCTTTGTCCACCCAGGACACAGAGCCAAGCCCTGGGCTTGGCACTGGTGAGGTGGGGATGAGGGTGCCCATGCTGCTTCCTGGGCACTGGGCTGGGGCGGGGGCAGCTTTGTAGGCACCCTACCTCGCGTGTGGGCCACCAGAGGGTTGTTATGAAAAACGAGCTCAGCGAGAGATGGGAAGAGAGCTACCGGCAGGATGGCATCTTCCTTTGCAATCTGGAAGGCATTCAGGAAGAATAAGTTCAACACGACCCCCCACCTCTGCCCAAGTGTGGCCAGGACCACAATGTGCTTGGGCTGTGTGCTTGCGAGGAGGAGCGGTGTGGGGCTGGGGGAATGCTGCTGTGGACAGCACTCACTCCTGGACAGCGCCTTATCCCTGCAGTTTCACCTGCTCACTCCAGAACACCCTGCCCCTCTTGTCCGAACTTCCACCATCACTGTTTCATGTTTCAAAGTTAAGAATTTTTCTCCCTTCTCCACACTGGTTGCAGAGCCTAGACCAAGTATTGAGGATGTTGGTGACAGGATAATAATAACAAAAACAATATAGCACTCGACTCACAAGGAGTCTGCAAGGTAGGGAGGACACTGACTTCAAGATACACTTTGTCTGACATTTCTCCTTCCTCAATGCAACCTCTGACACCCTGTCAGTCTGTCAACAGCACTCCTGATGGTCTCTTTCCCTGAGGTCTGTCCTGGGCACTGATCTGGGAGGGATAGGAGGTCAGGGAACCCACTCATCTAGGGGATGAGCAGAGCCCACGGTAAGGGAGGACT